GAAAGATACTATGTACATAGCTCAGAGCTGAGAAGATCCATGTGAGATTTGCAGTGTTGGCGATTTTTATAAATCGCCCAGATTCCAAGCCTCATCAGACTGCGAGCATGTCCGGCTGTCTTGCTGTCTGTCAATCTTGTTATCTTGCTGTGGCTGTTGATGTTGGCCAGATTAAATATTAAATTTCGCGTCATCTTATGATCATTAGGGCAATTAGAGGACACTGCGTTGCTGAAGACAGACATAACCAGCAACGTGAATCCTAACTGGACTTTTTGGGCTCATCCTGTCGATCCGGTCCTACCTGGTTTATTTTAGTATTTAATTTCTTGCATTATTTTCAAATTGGAAAATACTAGTGGAGTGTGCCAGCCATGTATATTTTCTTCAAAAAATAAGAGATGAGAGAATAAATAAAATCATCAAGGGCTCAGAGACATTTCAGATCATGTGAATTCTAATCTGTGATGCATGGACTATTATAATGGATTGCAATTGGGTTGAGATGACTGTAGCTAGATTGTGAGAGCAACCACAATGTGGCAGCAAAATAGTCCATAGGAATAAAATACTCTCTACCATGTAGCTGAACCATTGTGGAGGTGGTCCATATAGCAGTCTATAACAGAAGGTACACATAGCCCAATAGACTACCCATAAGCAATAAAAAAATGTTATTCTTTCTCTCTATGCTCTCTCTCTTGTGGAGGTACAGAAGATGGTTAGATAGAATAATTTTTAATCTCTATTGGACCTCACCTTATGGACTATTTGTTGGCTGGACATTGTGAGCAAATAATAGTAAGTTAGTAACTATGGACTACCTATATATGAGTCACATGTATATAGACTACTTGGTCCATATACATTGTGGTTGCTCAAGAACATGAATAGACAGACTACAACTTGATTGAGATGATTAGTTAAGACCCATATATATCTTTGACTTGTGGGTTAAACTTAAACCAAATTCTATTCAGGCCACAGGCTTAAGCCAAGCAAAAGTTTATCTAGACGTAGCTAGCACTTTCTGTTGCCCTCTTCTGTGTTGCTTCCTCACTTTTTCCCATGCTTGCATGCCTCAAATGCCAAGAGCCCCACAGCTTATGGACCAAATAAATGGGACATGCAGAGGCAAACATCCCACAACAAGGATTATTCCTGTGACAAGCAGGAAGCTAACTTAGTGCAGAGGACAAGTGATACTTGATTGCATTAGGGCTTCCTTTTGAGAAGGAAAACAAGAGGGACTAGAGGGACATGCTAGTGGTTTTCAGCCTAATACAAGAGGAAGCACCCAAACAGATCAAGGTTTGTTTTTCTTGGGGTACAGCCACAGCCCTTCCCTTTATCCCCACTTTCTCCACTTTTGAGGCCAACCTTCCATTCTTTTTAGGTTTGTGTATGCCTCAATGCAAGAAGGTTTAAACATTCTTAGGACAAAACACGGGGTTTTGTCTCTAATGGTTGGTTCATCTCTTAGTGAGTATGTGTACTGTGTAGGGTCCGGTCTACCAAATTCGTATCATGTTGTGGAATCTCTTTTTTAGGTTCACAGTTCTATAGGAGAGGCTTTTATACAACTAAGCTGCTATTGGAGTAGGATCTTTGGGGTACATACATACAGGCTTTAAAAAGGGGCAAAGATAACAGGGGATATACTAAGTACATCCTCTGTTGCTTTATAATCTGGATCGCATATTAGAATTCCCTAAAACTAATAGGTAGTGCAGAAACTTTTCTAACGGAAAAAGTATTGTTCCCAGTAATGATTGTAATTTGCAAAATTAAAACCTCACATGAAGATCTTCCTAAAAAATTCCATACAAATATAATTGAGCTGATGAGAGAAATTCAGGGCAATGCTATGCTACCGCCCAGTCAAAGATCTTACCATGAATTCTGATTCTGAGTTGTGGTAAATGATGCAGTACCTACCACCATACTAGTATCTCTTGCATTCATATTGTTCACCTGCCCATCACTGTCACAGAGATCAGAGAGAGGAAGCAAAACGCTCCAGGAGTAGTAGTGGGATTTTTGAATGAGGCCCCGTTTAGATGCAAGCCAAAAATCAAAAAATTTCAAGATTCTTCGTCACATCAAATCTTGCGGCACATGCATAGAGTACTAAATGTAGGCGAAAAAAAAACTAATTACACAGTTAGCCGAGAAATCGTGAAACGAATCTTTTAAACCTAAATAGTTCATAATTGAACAATTTTTGTCAAATAAAAACAAAAGTGCTACAGTAGCCAAAAGCCAAAAACTTTCGAAACTAAACGGGGCCTGAGTTCATGCTGTCACATCCGGAAACCAGGCAGCTCAACTGCCGCTTAGCAGGGTTACCAGGATAAGCACCGACATGATTTTAATATTCCACCTCAACTAAATATCTCTGGCCGACTTTCTATTTTTTTCTACAACTTCACTATTCTGTTCTACTACGGTTGAAATCTCGCAGAAAGTTTGCTGTAGGGAAAAAAAAAGTCTTGCAGGTAGTTTGGCAGGCTAACCCTGACGTTTGCGTTGGCATTTGGCAGGAAACCTTGGCTTCATTAGCAGCAGACAATGATTTTTTTCACTAATCTATCGCTGCAATTTCCTACCTGCCTCAGACTAACGGTACCTGGTACTTATATTTTTTTTACTAGCTCTCCGTTCCATAGCCGTGCCGTGAATCAGATTCAGCCCTTCAAAGAGGCTGGTTGGTTTGTGAGTTGATAAGTCCGACTGATATTAATTTATTGTGAGAGAAAACACTATTGATTAACTAATAAACTCTAACTGAAATCAACGAGCGAACATGCCGTAGAACTGAAACATGTCGAAGAACTAGAGCCAGGCAGGAATAAATTTCTCTCACTTCATCGGTTCAAAAGTTGCAGCGGTAGTAGTAAATGCAGTGGCATACTACTGTAGTTAGATGATTTTTTTAGAAAATGATACTGTAGCACTCTCATTTTTATTTATCGATTAGTGTCCAATCATAGTCTAATTAGGTTTAAAAAATTTGTCTCGTAAATTTTGTCTAAACTGTGTAATTAGTTTTATATTTTACTTATATTTAATGCTTTATGTATGCGTCCAAAAATTCAATGTGACGGAAAATCTTGAAAAATTTTACAAAATTTTGAGAACTAAACAGGCACAAAAGCTAAAGCTGTCTTTTGGCAAATTGTCTTGTTTATATGAGGTGTCGTGGTCAATGCCTTTTTGCAGCGTGACTGGTGTTGTGTGTGAGATCCATTGGGGGGTTTCTGCAGCTGGAGGTGAAGCTAAGAGGCTTTCGGCTTTCCCCTCTTGCAAAATGTCCACTGGAGTTAGGTGTTTGACCTGGGAAGTAGGCAAGTAGCTTGCTTGCCTAATTGGTGGCGGTAGATGCCATGCCATGCCATGCCGCATTGGCTGCTGGTGGGTGTACACATTACATACAGGGTGCAGGAGGGCTTGTTGGCGCCTAGTGTGGCCTCTGCCTTCTGCCTTCTGCCTTCTGCCTTCTGCCTTCTGAAGGCACCATTCTGCTCTCTGCTTGCATCATTGGGAGGGAGCTCTGCCTCTCTTCCTCTCTCCTTCCCACTTCCCACTTCCCACTGCTGCTTTGTTCTCCCTCCCTCTCTTCCCCCTCCTCTGCTTGAGCATTGAACGCCAGGTCCAGCAAACTGTGTGAGTCCTTTTCTTCCAGGCTCTGCAGTTTCCCTCGTTTATCTCCGCACGACGAGCTTGCCAGCTTGGTTTCTTGTTCTCAGTTCTTAATCTGTTTTGTTTTTCCGTGTGTGTGTTTTTCCCAGTTCTTGTTCTTGGCTGGTTTCACAAGGTGTGTGAACTCTGAAGAAGAGAAATGGCGGCACTGGAGAAGAGAGGAGGCCACGCCCACGAGCCCTTCGTCGTCAGAGCAGCGAAGCCCTCCAGTCCTTCAGCGAGGCAGAAGCGCTCCAAGAGGTTAGTTGGTTGGGTGCACGAACACGAGCTCGCCTCTGTGGATTCCTGCCTTCTCGTTATCTTTTCGCAATGTTCAGTTTCAGTTCACGAGGAAATTCTGATGTTGGTTGTGTTGCGTGGTGACAGTGATTTGGACGACAGAGACGCCAAGTGCGCACCGCGTTCTTCGCAGAAGGCATCCAGTCAGACTAAGCTTGTAGTGAGTTCTTGGTTTTTCCGTCTTGTGCACATGTTGAATTCACATCGCGTTCTGAAAAAAAACTGATAATTGCTTTGTGGTTTCTTTTTACCGTGTTTGTTTTGTCGTCCCAGCAAGGCAGAAACTCCAACCCTCAGCAGAAATGCGAAACCAAGAAGGAAATTCAGCAGCCCAGGAGCGAGACACTGAGCTCCCTGAAGAAAGAGGCAAGGACTTGAAAATCTGCTGCTTGCTGTTCTTCACTGATCCTTTATTTTGTTCTACGCTAGTAGTCAGCTGCCTGCTTGAAAGTTGAAGCTGTCCTGTTTCTACTTTCTACTTTCCTTTCGTTGTGTTGTCCAAAAAGAAACGCTCCGACCCAACGCAAAACTGTGCCTGAATATCGCAATGTTGCAGATAACATGATGAACTGAACTGAACCCCAAGTTGTTTGTTGCTCCGTTTTTTTTTCCCTCTTTTTTGAAAGATCGTTTCTTGCTCTGTTTCTCGCTCGGACTGACACGATGGGCACGCACATGCAGATTCTGCAGCTGGAGATGCACCTCAAGGATCAGCAGGTGGTGCGCGGCGCACTGGAGAAAGCGCTGGGGCCTGACGACGACCCTGCCGCTGCTGCTCCACCCACTCTCCAACACGAGAGCCCAGCGCTGAAGGTGCCTCCTTCCTTCACCTAATCACCAAATCACTCTTTCTTAATCCTGTCACTTCGTCCGTTCATCGATTAAACTGATGTTTTTTACTTTTTTTTTTAATTCAGCCGGCTACTCAGCTGATAAGGGAGGTTGCGACGTTGGAGCTGGAGATCAAGCACTTGGAGCAGTACCTGCTGACGCTCTACCGGAAAGCATTTGAGCAGCAGCAGGTGTCTTCAGATGCTCGCCGGGACCGGGAGGCGGCGGCGCGCAAGCTGTCGGTGAGCTCGCGGCCCGACGAGACGCCCAGGCCGAAGGGTCCCATGATCAGGGGAGGCGGCGGTGACCCGACGATGCTCCACTACAGCGGCCCTCCGCTTAGCGGCAAGGGGAGGAGGAATAATGGCGGTACGGTGGCGGACGACTGCTCGCCGTCGACGTGCTCCCGGAGGACGACCGCGGACTTGGTGGACACGGCCGGCCTCCGGAGCCAGTCGGCGCTGTCGTTCCGAGGTGCGTGGTCGTCGTCGTCTTCCAGGATATCGCCCACGGAGGACAGCCTCGCCAGGGCGCTCCGGTCCTGCCACTCCCAGCCCTTCTCCTTCCTGGAGGTGATCATTGCCATTGCCTCATCCATCATCAGAATCTGATATTCAAATTCAAATTTTTTAACAACCAATTTTGTTGTGAGTCCATTCATCTGTTCTGATTTCTGACCGTGCTGACGAATGATGATCATTCAGGAAGGCGAGACGGCACCGTCAGGAGTGGTGAGCCTGGCGGACTACCTCGGGACGAGCGTGGCGGACCACATCCCGGAGACGCCCAACAACCTGTCGGAGGAGATGGTACGGTGCATGGCCGGGGTCTACTGCAGGCTGGCCGACCCGCCGCTGCTGGCGCACCACCGGCCGTCGTCGTCGCCGTCGTCGTCGCTGTCCTCGGCGCCGAGCGCGGTCTCCCCGCCGCAGCACCTCGGCGGCGACGCTGACATGTGGAGCCCCAGCAGTTACTGCTGCCGGAGAGACGGCGCCCAGCTCGACTCCAGGCTCATCAACCCGTTCCGCGTCGAGGGGCTCAAGGAGTTCAGCGGGCCCTACAGCGCCATGGTCGAGGTGCCGGCGATCTCCCGCGACCGCACCAGGCTCAGGGAAGCCGAGGACCTGCTCCAGACTTACAAGTGAGTGAGTCACCATAGATGCTGTTCAGAACTTCAGAGCAGTGATGGCATGGCGTGTAGTGACATCGATCGGTGTTTGTACAATGCGATTTCAGGCTGATTCTCTACCGGCTGGAGACGGTGGATCTGAGGCGGATGACGGGCGAGGAGAAGCTCGCGTTCTGGATCAACGTGCACAACGCCCTGGTGATGCATGTAACGTTCTGAACTCTCGATCTCTGAATCCACAGCCTGACTGTTGTGTTGTGTCTGCTCGACCGTTTCTCTGACTGATTGATGCTGATGATCGATCGTCCATGCCCAGGCGTACCTGAAGCATGGCGTCCCGCAGAACCAGCTGAAGAAGACATCACTGCTTGTCAAGGTAAAGCCCAACCTTAGTCACACAATCCCTGAATCCCTCCACCTCAACAGATACTAGCAAATGACCGGCAATGGCTGACACAATGCAATACCATGGGTGCTTGTGCAGGCGGAGTGCAAGATCGCCGGGCGCGCCATCAACGCGGCGGTCATCCAGGGGCTGGTTCTCGGGTGCAGCACGCACTGCTCCTCCGGACATGTAAGTGCCTCCACCATCACATCCACACCATCATTGGGTCAAGAAACCTGCCTGCAGCGAGGAGCACGATGCCATGTGTTCCTGGCTTCCTGCTGCTAACTGAACTCCCATGTATTCTGGGCGCTTTTGATCGCAGTGGCTGCGGACTTTGCTGCACTACCCGAGGACGAAGACGAGCCGAGCGAGCAAAGCCGGAAGCGAGGAGTGGCGAGCCTTCGCCGTCCGGCAGCCGGAGCCTCTTCTGCGCTTTGCGCTTTGCTCCGGGTGCCACTCCGATCCCGCGGTGAGAACCAACCCCTCTTTTCTTCTTTTTTGGTGCGCAAAAGTGCAAACACACAAAAGCTCTGCGTGTCGATTTAGAATTTTATAGAGAAGAGAAGAAGAGACCAGAGATGGCTGACAGAATCGAACATAAAGCCTTGAAACCATGGATTATTAGTACTTACAATGGACAGTGTGGTTCCTGGGAACTCTCAAACATGATTGAGCTGAGCATGGTAACAACGATCACCTAGTGCTAGTAGTGTATGAATCGAGTAGTCATGTAGAGATGTTTCTGAAAGTGACAAAAGCTGCATGGTGAACTAGAACCTGTCACCTGTGTGCTGTTGTGCCATGGATTGGATGGATGAACACAATGATGAAAGGAGCTTTATACAAAGTATATATATCTACTTTTGTATCCTTGGTACATGTATGCCGTAGTACCTACTACATTCCACTCCACCATGCAAGAATGTTCATGCTGTTGTTCATCGAAGTACTCGATGGTCGACGCATCATTACACTTGTCTGTTCTTTTATTTGCATGTTCAGAGTGATGAGTCCAGTTGTTCAGTCGCCGATCGATTCAGCTCGCACTGACAGGAAAGAAGGATGTTCATGCTTGTCTTGTGTTCCATGGCGTGCGTGCGTGCAGGTGCGGGTGTACTTCCCGAAGCGGCAGGCGCAGCAGCTGGAGGCGGCGCGGGAGGAGTACGTCCGGGCCACGGCGGGGGTGTGGAAGGACCACCGGGTGCTGCTGCCCAAGCTGCTGGACGCCTACGCCCGGGACGCCGGCCTCTCGCCCGACCGCCTCCTCGACGCCGTCCAGCGCTGCCTCCCGGAGACCCTGCGGGCGGCGGTGCATCGGTGCCGCGGCGACGGCAGGTCCGCCGGCAAGATCGTCGAGTGGGTGCCCCACCGGCAGAGCTTCCGGTACCTTCTCGCCAGGGACCTCGCCTTCCCGCACCTCAGCTAGCTAGCTAGCTGCTCGTCGTGAATCTGATTCCACAGTGATTAGTTAATTGGTAGTAGTTGTGGTCATGTGTTGGGTGGATGTGTTGATAGATTTGGTTCTTGGATGATGATGATGACGACGATGATTGCGTCCATGATCCATTGTTAGGCATGGGTATTCTTCGTCTTAATTTGCGCGTGTGAGAAACTCGCTGTAAAGAGATGACAGAGTTTGTAGATATAGCAACACAAATGAAAGAGATGACAAAGTTTGTATTACTTTATTGTACAAGTGAGGCAACGCTAATGGGCAGCGCCTCCTAGAGCAGGAGCAGCTCTTCATGAAAATCACTCCTCCTCAACTTTATTCTGACTGTGATTAAACAAATATCACTTTATTTACATAAATAGAAGCTGATAGCTAAAAAACCCACACTTTCTATTCAATCCCCACTAAAATTACTCCAAAATCATTTCCCACTTGTTTCCCCTCAAGAATCACTCCATAAGAGAATCAGGTAGCTAGAGCTAAGAATTAAGGATAAAACTCTAAGACGCTTGGATCATAGGGCCAACAACTAGCTACATTCTTTTCTAAAAAAACATCACTAATTGCATTGCGCTAGGAAAAAAAATTCTAGAAAAGGAAATTAAAAAAGAAAGACAACATCCTTATGGGCCTCCGTGCAAAGAAGGCCTAACCTACCTTGACCTTCCGTAGGAGTGGGCCAGCCCAATTTCCATAAAAGGATTAACATGACCAAGCCCAGAGAACGCCTCTTTGATAGCAACATTAAGGGAGAAAGTGCTCTCGTACAAGTGCACTCTAGCAGGCGTTCCAGGAGCCGTCGGCTACCTAGGCAATGGCAGCCTTCCAGCAGGCGTTCCAGGAGCCGCTCGACTCTGCAAAAAGGTCCACACTTCGGGGGCTTTTGAAGGTCGACCTAGGAGGGGTCAAGTGTGTATCCGTCGGCCCCCTGGGTTGCCTTTAGTGATGCCTAATTTATCGCAAAACATTCATGTAAATTAAGTTGCATCCTAGTTCTATGGGTCGCTTTGGGGTTCCGTCCCTCCTACCATGGTAATTTATGGATTACTTGGGAGTATTGTAACAAATCAAACTCTTCTTGTACTTAATGAAATACAATCGTGAAAAAGAGCATTAAGGCCCTGTTTGGATCATTGGAATTAAATTTATTTTAATAATCATAATTTAGACACATATTAATATAGCTAATATGATTGTATATTGATTATATCTGTATATTATTGTTGGATATACGAGAGAAATACTTATGTGTTGCATTTCTACCATAGGGAGCGAGTTGAAGAGTGTGTTATAAGTTACAGAGTAGAAACATAGAATGGTGATCTATAGAGACAATTTCCATCTCCCACCCTATGAATGAGATAGGCTTATATGGAAACTTTGGAAAGTGTGGTGGGATGTCAAATTCTATGCCAAATAGCCTAATTTATTAAGTACTCCCTCCGTTCCAAATTATAAGTCGCTTTGACTTTTTTAGTAAATCCATTTTGCTATGTATGTAGATAAAATAATATATCTAGATACATAATAAAATAGATGAATAAAAAAAGTCAAAGCGACTTAAAATTTAAAACGGAGGGAGTAGGTTTCAATTCCTTCAAATGAAAGGATCCAAACGGCCCCTAAGAGATTCTTTGGCAGTGTCTCTTAGAGCAACAAAAATCCCTCATCCCACAAAAATAGTAAAAAGTCACAATTCTAATTTTAATAAGTATTAGACACGAATCACTATTAGGGCCCCCCTATGAAACGTGGGATTTTTTTTCCCATTCCTGCACTTTTCCCGTGAAAAGCGAAATGAATCCTGTGTAATTCGTATGAAATTCCTGCGTTTTAAAGGGGGCCTAAATCTGATCCTACCAGGGCTTGCTCCACCACAGAAGTAACTTCATGAGATAATCATGTAGCCGGAGGTAGGGATCAAGGGGTGAAACTCTAACAAACAAACAAACCCTAACAACATTCTTTCCTTAAAAAAACACAATTAATTGCATTCCACAGTTCCCTACAAAACGAAATAAAGAAAAAGAAAGGTAGCATTGAGCCTCCTTGCAAAAAAGGTCCAGCCCACCTCGACTTTCCGTAAGTAGGCCAGCCCAATTTCCCTAACAAGATTAGCAGGCCCAAGCCCATAGAACGCAAGTCACATAACACACGCTGGCGGCGGGCCCCGCCGGCAGCGGATACGCGTCGGCCGCGGCGTCTCCACAGCCACGAACACGCCATCAGCCGGCCGAGGCGAGAGCCGCGCGCACCCCGCGACGAAGGCGGCGCAGACCACCCACCACCACCAGTCAACTACCACAGCACACGAGCCTGGGGGGTTTTGCTAGGGTTTTGTTTCACCAACCCCAGCGGCGGAGCGCGGAGGTGGCGGCGGCGGAGATGGAGGGGGAGGAGATTGGCCTCGTCCTCGCCCGCGCTTCGGACCTCCGCTCCAGGATATCCGCCTGCGCCGCCGCCGCGGGGGCGGGGGCGCCGTGTCCGCGGCGGGACGCCGAGGAGGCGGTGAAGCGGCTGCGCGCGGCGGGGGGCGATGAGGAGTCAGCCGAGGAGGGGGAAGAGGAGGAGGCGGAGGTGGAGAGCCTGGTCGGCATCAGCGACGCGCTCGAGTCGCTCGAGCGGCAGCTCGCCGCCCTGCAGGTCTGTGGATTGATTAATCACTCATTCCTTGCTTTCTGCTGCGGTTGGCGGATTTTTTATGGTAACTCGTGGCTGATTTGGTAGTGCATTTTCTGATTGGATTTGGAAACTAATCTCTTCTGATCCTTAATTAATGCTACTGAAACAAGGCATAGTGGCAAGTGGCATACTATCCCCATTTTTTTTTTCATGCGTCAGCATGCTATCTCGAACAAGGATAAGAACATACCAAATGTAGGTGCAGGGCATTAGTGGACTAACCGTGTTTCGGTTTGGTGCATGAGCTACTAGTAACGGCTGGCTCATAGGATGTTTCAGTTTGGTGCAGTTCATGAGCTTGTGTTTTTTTGGGTGGGGGCAAGGAAATTGCCTCCCGTTACTAGTAGCAGATAGGACTTGTCATGCAGTCAATTAAACATTTCCATTCCTTGTTTGCATTGCGCATGAGCTTGCATTTTTTTTCTGGCAGGGAAATTGCCTGAAGTTTCTGGTCGGGGATAAGAGTTGTCATGCAGCAACTAAATCTATCATTTTACTAGTTGTATTAAACTGTAAGATTCAGGCATTCAACTGGGTTCCACGGTTCTGCCCAGTCTTGCTAGTAGTAATTGGATCCTTTTAGCTCTTGTCTTTCACAAATACTAGTAGGATTGTTTTTATGGTGATAACATTATTGCCAGAAATTTGGGCAAGATGCAGAAAGGGGCATAAAAATTGTTACGCGTGCTTTGATTACTAGTGTTGCTTGTTAGTCAATTGTTTATGTGAGATTTAAAACACATCACAATTTACTTTGCTATGTTCTGTTTATTGCACCATGTGCGAGGTCACACTGGTGAGGTACTGGCTGTGATAATTGAGGGTATGTTGTTTCCTGTTACTTTTTTTTTTTCCAACCGAGGAACCTCCCATTTCCATTACATGTAACGGAAATACAGATTGTTTCAGATTACAAGATAAAAGACAGAGAAACAGAGGAGCTAATCATCAGACTACCAAGCAGATGATACCTGACCACAGCAAACGAACCTTACCATCCCTAACACCAAAGCATTCAACCAGCATATAACCAGACTTCACATCAGATTTGGAGGAGAGTCGCCATCTTCTTCCTGTTGATCATCATCCGTCAGCATCTGGCTTTCCAGGCTGCTCTTTTGCTGCACAGATAAGAGCTGTTTTATGCGACCCTTAGCATAGTGGCCACACCTTCTTCCAGCTGTTCCTTGTCGATGTTAGGGAAGAGACCTGTCCAGAAATTCATAAGGGCACAAGCATGACAAACTATTTCTAATGGATTATGAATAAACTTATTCTCAAAACAAGCTTTGTTATGCGATTCTTCCATATGGCCCAACAAATTGCCGCAATCCCCAAGGGTGATATTTCTGTCCATACGGAATCCATGTTTCACACCATTTCCAACTTTGCTGCAGATTATTTGGAATGTTAGTAGCTCCAAAGCATTTTGCCACTATAGGCCAGACAGCTCTAGCAATAGGACATTGGAAGAATAAATGATCAATGCTTTCATCCATTTCACAGAACATACACTTAGTGTCACCCTGTCATTTCCTTTTAATCAAATTATCCTTAGTCAGTATTGCATCATCGGTCATCAACCACAAGATATTTTGATTTTTGGGGGAATCTTACCCTTCCAGATCCTTTTGTGATACAGTCCAGAGTCATTACTAGTTAAACTATTATACATTGATTTAACAGAAAATTTCCCACTTTTCTCAAGTTTCCAATAAATAGTATCTGATTCATTTACTAGAGAAAAGTTGGTCCACATCTTCCCATATTTTGTCCCATGATTCAGCTAATTCTCCATACAACCATCTTCTGAATTGAATGTTTACTGTTCCATTCTTAACCTGTGCCACAAAAGCATCCTTATGCTCACACAGTTGAAATAAGATGGGAGCTATTTCACAAAGAGATTTGTTATACAACCAAGGATCCAACCAAAATCTGGTGTTTTCTCCATTCTTAATACTGACAGATCTACCCTGAAGATAGAAATCTTTAATTTTCAACAAGTCATACCACATATGAGAATCATTAATCTTATGGCCTACATCATGAATTGATTTATCCTTCAAATATTTATGTTTAATGATTTCTTGCCATAAACCTTCTTCTGTTTCTAATCTCCACCACCATTTACAAAGCAAACTGATATTCATTTTTCTTAAATGTTTAATACCTAGTCCACCTTTCTTTTTACTTTTGCAAATTTTCTCCCATTTGACAAAATGATACTTTTTTTTGGTCCCACCACCTTGCCAAAAAAACCTTTTCCTGATTTTATCCAAACTGTCAATTGTGGTTTTAGGTAGCAAATATACTGACATGTGATAAATAGGAGAGTTGTTTAGACTAGCCCCAATCAATGTGGTTCTTCCTGCAATTGACATATTACCGCCCTTCCAAACATCTAATCTCTTATTGCTTTTTTCAATCAAAGGTACCCAATCACAGACATGTAACCTGCTTGGACTTACAGGGACACCTAAATACTTTATAGGAAATGACCCAATCTGACAGTTAAAAATCTCAGCATATGTTTGTCCCCAACACTCCTCATCATTAATCATCACAACTTCACTCTTGTTAAAATTGATTTTTAAACCTGCCATCATCTCATACAAATACAACAGAAATTTCATATGTGTAGCACTGTTACGGCCTCGGGATCTCAGGGCACAGGGATGTGAAGGGGAAGGCCGAGGTTTGGTTCCCCGGCGGCGGATCAGCGGCGCCGTGCTCGGCCCCTGGATTGTCAAACCATGAACAAGAACCCGAACAGGGCAGCGCCAAGGAGCAAGAGCGAATAATCTCAATTCTCTGGCTAACCTTCTCATTAACAAACTGTTCCATACTTATATGAAAATCCTAACAACTCATTAGCTAACTTTAAGGGATAACAAAACCAACTAACTAGCATTCCTATTTGCTCGGATCGTGAAACGGAGACGCGAACTTCCTGGCGACACGGTTGACGCGAACTGAATGGTGACCGCGCCCAGTGCGTTGTCGTGCCCCTCGCGCGGTCAACCTCTAGCCACTGGTGCGCTGCCTCCTCTGATATGTTTGGCCCACCATAACAAGCACCTTCTAGGCTATGTTTCAAACAAACTATTGTATCATCTGCGTACTGCAGAATTGCCACACCTTTTGGAATAATATGGCTGATCAAACCCTCTACTAAACCATTCTGCTGTGCCACATTAACCATCCTAGTTAAACAGTCTGCAACCAAATTGTTGTTTCCTGTTACTGGTTGTGTGGATTATATATAACTTAAATATTTGTGTTGAGACTATTTCTAAGTTACTATCTACTGCATTGTTAACATCTTAACAAAATTCCACTGCCAGGACCTCCAGCACCAACAAAGATACGAACGGGAAACCATATTGAGCCAGATCGACCGAAGCCGGAGATCCCTGCTAACCAAGCTCAAAGAATACAAGGGGCAGGACTGCGAGGTAATCCACGAGGCTGCTGCTTTTGCCGGTGAGAAAATAGAGCATGACGACGGTCTCATCCTGCCTCCATACTCGAACCACGTCACCAACTCGTTTGTGCTCGACGACCTGTACCCTCTGAACTACATGTCCAAGTCCAAGCGCTTGCACAACGGACTGGACTCTGACAGAACGGCTCAAGACGGCACGAGAACAAACGGGCTGGCGAGCAGGAATACTGAGACCTCGAAACGCAGCTTGGGAGGAGGGATCGGGGCCTTCATCGGATGGGTGGCTAAGACGGCGGTCATGGTCGTGGGCGCCGTGTCCATCATGAAGGCTGCTGGATACGAGCCCGTGATGGGGCGGAACATTATCAATCTGGACATCGCGGGTCTGTTTGGTGGTGGTGGTAAGCAGGCGAACGGCGGAGAGGAGCGGAGTGCTCCTCTGCGGTGCCCTCCTGGCAAAGTGATGGTGCTCGAGAACGGCAGGGCGCACTGTGTCGTGAAGGAAAGAGTGGAGGTGCCTTTCGACGCTGTCCTGGCGCCACCAAGTTCAAGGTACGGTTTAGGCTGAAAAATCCGCGTGTGTGAATAGTAGGATGAAGCAGTATCTGTGTCCTGTGGGAGTAGCTGGGGAATGGTTCTTTGTAAGACGTATTGTTGGGAGCTTTCTTTGTTTGTTTCTTCTGCGTTAGGCGCTGAACATGCACAGTGTGGAGATGTTGAAGGTATGTATCGTGGAAATAAACCCTTCTGCTCTCACACTGTCGTTGTGCTTATATTTGTCTGCTCTGGCAACACTAGTGCCACTATTTGAGCCATCACTGTATTATTGCTGGTTCCATTTCCCCCCATGTAGTTTACTCTGTAGCCCTAGGATCCTGGATATGTTGCTTTCACGCCTACCCGGTACAGAAAGTCAGCTCCTAATTGATCTGCAGGAGTATATATATATATATATATATATATTAGAGTTACTCTATATGTTAATACTGAATGCTGGCATCCATTTTTCTGTACTACAGTAGTATAGTATTCAGGGTTGGTTGTGGTTGATGCCGCCTCCTGGAGCAAGAGACAAGGCCAGGGCTGGTTGTGCTTGACGCCGGCCAATGCATGGAATCAGCTTAGGAGCGCACACTGCGACGAGACTGACGAGGATTCGAGGAATTTGGTTTGCTTTGTCCGATTCCTGCTGTGCTGGACTATGTAAAGGCGAATCAGGTACAGCAGGCAGTCGTGACCGGATTTCCATTTCTGCTCCTGTATCAGCCCTCAGCCAGACTTGACAAGTTTTTTTTTTAAGAAGAAAAAAAGGGATGGTTGGAGCTTTCCTTTCAATTAAGATAGGGAAAAGAGCTGCCAGGACACTTCCCAGCTGGGGGGCACACATAGGTACTAACGAAAAAAAAAACATCAAAGGGCTACTCCGTAATGGCAAAAGCTTCTTTCTCATGCCAATCTCCTCTTTAGCTCTCGAAGCCACTTGTTGAGCGGTTTGAAAACCATTCTAAGAAAAATCCTACATGTTCTCTTTTCATAGTTCCACAATATGTAGGTAACCATATCGTTGAAGCTCCGTCTTCAACCTTTTGGGACCTTTTGGGGAGGGTTCCGATACCATGCTGGATCAGCTGCACATCAAAGTGCTCTCAAGTCAAGACTTGGTTGTCTACCCGAGTGTGTATGCAGTACTAGCCTGTGAGGGCATCTTATCTATCACTCCCTTCTAGTAGGAGCTGAGTGTCTACCAGCATTCAGGTTCAAGGCTGTGTATGAAACTCTGGATCCAGCTCTCGTTGTGGTTGGCTACTAGTACTTGTGTGCCTGCTGGTGCTGCAGCAAGAGACAAAAGAGAAGACACCAATCACCAGGTGGTGTGGCACGGTGAGGTTGACGTTGACAAAGGGTCATATTTAATAATCCGGCTGATGCTATTTTATTGCGAGAGAAAAACATTGTATCATGGCTGATAAGCATGGTTGATACGATAAAGCGAACAAAATGGTTATGGGTGTGTTTGGTTGTGTGGCTTTATGTAGCCTGGCTAGAAAAACAAGCCAGGCTTGAGTTAGCCCATAGAAGTCAAGTCATCCTACTAGTGTTTGGTTGTAATGTGCTAGTTAAGACTGGCTAAGTTAGTTTTTGTTTGGTTGCCTGGATTACTTGGTACCGCTACCTCTTCTCTACAATGGAGACCTTACCCCTTTCACTTTGTTCATCTCGATGGCGACCGGTGTACAGGGGAAGGAAGAAGGACCGTGGCGGCGGAAGAGCTCCGGCACGGCGGAGCGCCTGCGAGTCCCCGACCACCATCACCCACGAGCCGTTGAGCAGCAGCGACGCGTTGTCGTGCGACAGCCGCGCGAACCCGCAGGTGGACGCCAGCGAGGGCGGCCACGACCACACCCGCGCTTTTTCGCCTCTCGAGCCGTCGTCACCGGCGTCGGTGGCATCAGACCCCGACAGCAAGCGAGATGAAGAGCGCGCCGGAGAAGAAGAGCACCTTCTTGTGGCTGAGGTGCCAGCCGGCCAGCCCCATGGGGACGAAGAGCACGATGCATGCCGCGACCACTCCTGCCTGCGCCGCGTCCGAAACCATCGGCCGGCTGGCCGACCGAGCGGCCGCCTGCACTTGACCCGCTCGAGCGGTGAAGGCGCCACTAGATCTTTACCTGCCACCGGGAGGAGGAGGTGCACCTACCACCACCGGGAAGAGGAGGAGAGGGGATCTCCGCACGGGGAGGAGGAGCCGGTGGTGGTCGGGAGGAGCCGGGGTGGGGTGGGGTCTACTCTGGACCGGGGAGGTGGACGAGGCGGAGCACACGGTGAGGGGCGGGGCGGTGATGATTTGGTCGTTCGATGCTAGCCAGGCTCCAGTGGTATGGATGGCCAGCCCTAGCCAGGCCCCAATCCATTTTCAGGCAACCAAACGGGCCAAAAACTAGCTCCACCTAGAGACAGGCTAGGGGTTAACCAAACACACCCTGCATGTATGCTTTGCTAGAGTGAAGTCCTAGGCCGGCCGTGTCCTGATTGGATTTGCCCTCCTCTTCCAGATCGGGCCTTGGCCTTGACCAGCAGAATTCAGCACGAGTGCAGAGCCGAGGTTAGACTGTCTCCAACAACTCATGCATCACGACATGCAAACCCAAAATGCCTACTCCGGGTTGCTTTATCGGTGGAAAACGTAGTCCAACAGACGACGCAAACGAGGGACCTATTTTGGGTGAGACGCGATGCATGACCCAAATAAGCGTCGCCTCTCTCCTCGAACCCAAATCTCTGGTCGACCGGGTCCGCCCACAGCTGACCGGAAGGGGAGAGGGTGTAACACCTCGGGTGTTTAAAATACTAAAATCTGACATGTCATCATATGCATTGCAAAGCATTTGGCATTTGGTGAAAACTTTGTGATGCATACACTAAAACAAGTTTATATTCGTGTGGTATGTGTTGAATTGTATTGTTTAACTTAAATTCAAAGTTTGTTTGGTAAAATTTGAAGTAATTTGAAAAGGCGTAATTCTTTAAAGGTCCCCGTTTTGAATTCAAGTGTGCATTTCAAAATGTAGGCCGAATAGGAGATGGTTATAGAAGCAAAGTTGTAGAACTTTCGATTTTTGAACAACTTTTGTTTTTGGAGATTTTTGAGTTGTTATGAAAAATTTGAGAGTAAATTGTGAATTTTGGCGTATGGCAATTTTGTAATTTTGTGAACAAATGTTCACCGCCTAAGCTTACATTGCCGTCGTTCCTTCTTCGGCGTTCCAGCGTGTCGTGGGCCGTCTTTGATGTCGCACCGGCACGGAATAGCTCTGTCGTGGCTTCCTTGAGCTTCAACCACGCTATAAGTACCAAGACGTCGTCATCGTCGTTTTTCTTCCTTTGTTTTCACCACCGTCGTTGTCGCCGCTCCAACAAGCTCGCATCGTCTCCCTAGCGCTGTTGCCATCTCGGTAAAAGGCCGTCCTAGTTCCGTCTTTTCCTTGCGAATCCAAACCGCACTAGCCTTGATCGCCTGAAATTGCCGAGAACTCGCTGTCCACGTTTTTTCTTCCTCGAGGTCGCCAACTTCACCGCTGCATGGGCGTGTCATCGTGGCGAGCTTTTCGGTGAGCCGTTGTCCATCGATGTACTTACGGTTTCGCTTTTGATGTCGTAGTCTTTAGTCGGGTTGTTGTTTACTCATTTTGATCGCTGCGATCGCCGGTTCTCCCTCACCGACGCGATCTTTGCTTCGCATAGTTCACCATAGTGGTCGGATAGCTCAAAGCATAGTGGTCGGATAGTTCACCATAGTGGTCGGATAGCTCAACATAGTGGTCGGATAGCTCACCATAGTGGTCGGATGGTTCACCATAGTGGTCGGATAGCTCAAAGATAGTGGTCGGATAGTTCACCAAAGTGATCGGTGCTAGCGTGGTCACATCGATTCCAATAATATGGTTTGGTTAGTTTGGTTTGTAATCTGTCTCACAAGAAAAATTGTATCCAATTTATTAATTTTTGTATCCATCATCGAGCATCATGTTTCATATTCCACATCATGTAAACATGGCAATGTTACTACGTAGTAAACGAAGGTGAACGCGTGGTAGTTAATCAAGTTGCGGAGGAGGTTGATCTGTCTGTTGAAGTCGGATCGAAGACGTGTGAAACGTCGCAGAGCCGAACTTTTTCCGCCAACGAAGGCAAGCCCGGATGCATATAACCCTACCTTGTATTTTACAAATTGATTTCGCTTTTGCTTTTCAATATTGCATTAAGTGATTAGAAGTCAAGTGGAAACCTAATTGTTGCATTATCAACCTTGTTGTTCCATATCTACTTTGTTACCCGCTTAAAAATCGATATGCCTAGTTATGCTTAGCTCGCTTAGACCGATCGTGAGTTGGGTGATACCACCACCGCAAGTTTTAAATGGAACATTGGTTAATTATGTTAGCATGTGATATGGGAATGTGGAGTAATAAATCTAGACCGGGCGGACTTCGGTGGTGTGTGAGCCACAAGACATGGAGGTCTTGTGAGCGGGTTCTTTCCGCTGTGGTCGATTAAGGCACGTCCCGTTGTTGAATTGCATGAGGTGAGAATTTGTAGTACTAACCACATACTCCGTAAGCCTAAACTTGGCGATTCTATTACGAGAATGGCTACTCACAAGACCGGGAGTGGAGAGATGGCGGAGTAGCGTGTACCCTCGTGGCTGGAATGTGGCCGGATTTGAGGTGTGCTGTGCTCTCGGGTGGCGCGGACCCGTTCTTGTTTCAGAGGATCCAAGGGTAGGTTGGTATATGTAGGTCGTGGACCTGCGTATATGTCGTGGTGGTCTGAAGTCCCAAATTGGGTTTATAATCGGTTCAATCGCCGTTGCTCCTCGGTTATGGAGACTCAACTCACTTGCTCATCATCGTAGTATTAATAATCGGAACTCGAGAATGGTTTGAGAAAGTGTTGGATATGAAGTTTCATGATCTTAATGCGGATCGTGTCGACTTTGTATATGATCATATGAGATTTTGAATTTTGATACAAAGAATTTTGTTAAAGTGCTTTTAAGCAAAAGAACTTTGATTATTGCTAAAGCCATACCTTGAATCCCCGAGCACTGCATTCCCGAGTCTTATCGGTTTTCATTTCGGTTAAGTCTTGTTGAGTACTTTTGTACTCGTGGTTCGCTGACCCTTGTTGCGAGTGAGGCTCATGAGCAGATCTGCTTTTGGATCGTCTTTGCATGACCGTTGTTCATCATGATGATGATAAGTAATGTGGCCCTTAGGGAGTAAGTGATATTTGTGTGTTTTGTATATATTATAATGCCACTCCACTACTACGCTTTTGTAATAATAATCGAACTTAGTTTGTAAGGTTTGAAATAAATGTTTTGTAAACTAAGTTATTGTAAGACTTCCATTGATTTACTCTGTGTTGATATTTGGATAAATGTTGTAATACCGCAATGACTCAGTAATGTGATCCCGCTTTCGGAAATCGTGGATGATTCGGGGTTCCCATGACACCCGACAGCCTCTTCTTAAGTTATCGGTAACATATGCATAAATGTCAAAGGTCGTTGGACAGTGACAGGTGCATGTGGGCCCTATAATTTAGGAGGTTCTGCCACAGAGGGAGCCACCACCGGTGGAGGAGGAGCAGCCACGACCACGCGCTGCAAGTGGGGCAGGAGGATGCGCGCCGCTGGTGGGGAGAGGACACCGCCGCACGTGGGGGCCATCTACGCGGACGTCGAGGTCAGATCCGCCGGGAAAAGGGGCGCCGCCACGCCCAATTGACCGGATTCGCCCGTAGCTGATCGGAAGGGGAGAGACGGCGAGCGCGGTGCGCAGGCGCGGCGACGGGGGGCTGCTTGCTGTTGTTGAAGAGGAAGAGCCCCGAGGAGAGGGTGTTGACGGCGCCGGCGAAGCCGAAGAGGAGCGCGAGGCCGGCGACCCAGGGCATGAGGAGGAGGCCGAGGGCGAAGGTGAAGGTGACGGAGCCGCACAGCATGAGCGCCACCGACGCGTCGAGGAGCATGGACGCCGCCGCTGCTGGGGACATCGACACCGGCTACCCCGGTCCTGGCGTGGGGGAGACGATGGTGCGGAGCAGCGTGCAGAGCTCGCGGACCTGCCGCGAGTAGTGCTCACCGCCGCCGCCGCGACTCGTCATGCTTTGCTTGCGGGGTTGCTGGAAGAGGTGGAGGTCCTCGCCCTTTGACTCGCGGTCGATCGATCAGAAGCGTGCAGGCGAGGAGAGGATGAGCCGAGACGGGAACAGGACGCGAGGCGAGACGGGGAAGAGAGAACAGAGGGGAGACGATGGTGAGGACGAGGCGCCGGTGGTGGCGTATAAAGAGAGGAGGGGATCGAGATGGGTGGGCAGCGGAGAGACCGAGGAAGAAGAGGGTTGATTTGCGTTGACTGTTGGAGAAGCTAAATTTTAGGTGGGGATCATTTTTCCTGTGTACGACCCAAACTTGAAAATGGATGTTGTTTTCATTGTTGGAGACAGATTTAGTTAGCATAGGAGTCGGCTGTAGAGCGGGGTGGCCTAGCTCCTGGTGGCAGTGATAGATAAAGATGCCCTCACAGTCACAGGCTCACAGGCTAGTACCGATAGCAGCATCTTATCTAGCTAGACCTTATTTAGATTACATCAAAGTTCCAAGGTTTTTTACTTTTTCTTCATCACATCAATTTTTAGACGTATGCATAGAGCATTAAATGTAGGTAAAAAAGTAACTAATTGCACAGTTTGATTATAAATCACGAGACGAATCTTTTGAGCCTAGTTAGTCTATGATCGGACAAAATTTATCAAATACAAATGAAACGTGCTACAGTGTCCAGATTACAAAAATTTGTAATCTAAACAAGGCCCTGGTAGTAGTACGAGTTGGAAAACAGGACACGACCGAGAGATGGTGTGCCGAGGAATTTCACTGGGGCCGTGTTTAGTTGCCCCGAATCAGCGCCGACCGATTCACGGTAGCTACACTGTAGCTATCGTTTTGTTTTTATTTGGTAATAATTATCCAATCGTTAACTAATTAGGCTTAAAACGTTTGTCTCGCAAAGTATAACCAAATTGTGCAATTAGTTTTTGATTTCGTCAATATTTAGTACTCCATGCACCGTAAGTTTGATGTGATGGGGAATTTTCTTTTTGCATAGTGTCAAAGTTGGAAGTTCGGTGAAACTAAACATGGCCTGGGCCAACCGCGTCTGCGTAAGTACTCCATAGAGTCCAGCAATATGTTCGGGGGACCGTAAACGATCGTGGTTTATTTATTGCTGGCTGATTTGGTGTGAGAAAAAAATACTGTCCTAGCTTATAATCTACTGTCATATCCGAGCAAACGAACAGCCTGGAGTGGTGGCTGCCCCTCGTTTTTTCACCTCTACCTGCCTGCAGGTTTACACGCGTGGTGTGAAGGAACGAAGCAGAGCGTTGCACAGTTGATTTGTTATGAGAGAAAAATACTATTTTCTGATAGAAACAGTACGGCTGATAAGTTCCCGCTAACCGGGCCCATAGCTTCGGCGCCGCGTCCGGGATGCTGCGCCGTCCGTTCGCCGCGCGCGCCGCACCCTAAGCTAGCATCGCAGCGCACGCATGGGCGCCGGGCCCTTGAAGCAAAGCTTTCACAGCACAAAGGTGAGAAAAAGGCCATCCCATCCCATCCAGTCGAGACTCGTGCCACCGCGAACGCGCCGGGCAAAGTGGCAAACAGCCAAAAGCCTTTTTGGTTTGGCCTCCGGCGGCCGGGCCTGCGAGGCGCGAGAGAGGCACACACGGATCGCAGACATTGGGAGGACGGAAGCGAACTGAGCTGGAGGCTGGAGCCTGGACGGAAGCGAACGGAGACGTGCGTGCACAGATTTCTTGGAGCTAGCAGTAGCGCATGCGTAGCCCAAGGTGCAGATGAAAGTAGCGCGTGGGTGCGCGCGCGGAGTCTGCTCGCCGCGCCCTACACTACACCTGCTATGGCAGCCCCGGCGTCGGCATCTATCCGACTGCACTGCCTTTGCGTTGCATGCATGGGCGGCGAGGCGACGGCGATGGAGTTGACTCGAGCCTCGTGCCACCAATGCGTGAGGGGCCAGCTGGTTGGCTTTACGACTCGCCGATCCCCGTACTAGAGTCTAGAACGAGCAGCAGTGCGTAGCGTGTGCACTTGCGTGCTGTCCGTGCCCCTCCGCCGCGTCGACCGAACGCGCGCGGCGTGCGCGCACACACGTGCAACATCCTACCAGGGCCAGCCGGCGAGCTGTACTAGAGCAAAAGGCAGAGCCTCAGCTCCGAATGACTTTCACATGTGGGCACCGGAGATAGGAGTAGAATCCTTCCTCCGACTAACTGTATTTTGAGAAGTGATCGGTGCTCATAAAAAAGGATGGCACAGTTGTTGCAGAGGCCGGAGCCCCCAACTGGGTTGGGTTAAACGAAGCTAAGATCAGTGCTTCATGTAGCAATTTGAAGGTACATGTGAATGAACGATGATGAGTTAATACATTGGCCATCGCTTGCAGTACTGGGATGCCTGCCTGGTTTCTGACCTCACCTTGCTATGCAATACAATTTGGCTTGGCAAATGTCAGCTCCAAAGTACCAAAGGTTTAAGAGTTAGTGGCTTGGCAAATGTGACAGCTCCAAGGTCCAAAAGGTTTAAGAGTTGGTGGCTTGGCAAATGTGACAGCTCCATGTACCAAAGGTTTAAGAGTTGGTCCACTTCTGATAATGCTAACAGGAATGTATTAGTGGGTTAGAAAGTTCTGAAGCAAAATCATTCATTGTTGAAAATTCAGCAAATTTTCTCATAGCCAAGAGTGGGGGACATCTCTTGTTTGCAATGAGCAACAATACAAAGGTGGTCCTCGCAAAAAATAATAATAATAATCAAAGGTGGGTCCACCGGAAAGTGGCAACAAGTTTTGCAAAAAGGGTGAGTTGTGCAGTAATGTCAATCCTAAAGAGTAGATAGAACTCAACTAGATCCTGGGGGCCTTGACAACAACGGTTTGGGGGCAAGCCGCATTTGGAGCAAACTAGGCTGCCAAATGGGTTTAGGTTAGACAAATGCGTTGCTACAAAAGATCAAAGAGAGCTAGGCAGAGGCCATTGGAGCCGTTCGGCTGATGGTTTCTGTGGCTGAAGCTGATTTATGAGAGAAAAGCACTATTCTATGGCTGATAAGTTCAAGCGAACAGGACAGAACCAAAGTCGTCTGGGTCCACCGGAAAGTGGCAACCAGTTTTGCAAAAAAGGTGAGTTGTACAATAATATCAATCCTAAAGAGCGGATAGAACTCAACTAGATCCTATGGGCCTTGACAACAACGGTTTGGGGGCAAGCCGCATTTGGAGCGAATTAGGCTGCCAAATGGGTTTAGGTTAGACAAATGCACTGCTACAAAAGATCAGAGAGTGCTAGGCAGAGGCCATTGGAGTTGTTCGGCTGATAGTTTCTGCGGCTGATAAGCCGGCTAAAGCTGATTGGTGAGGGAAAAACATTGTTCCATGCATGACAAGTTCAAGCGAATAGGACAGAACCAAAGTCGTCTAGGTCCACCGAAAAGTGACAACCAGTTTTGCAAAAAGGGTGAGTTGCACAGTAATGTCAATCCTAAAGAGTGGACAGAACTCAACTAGATCCTGAGGGCCTTGACAACAACGGTTTGGGGCAAGCCACATTTGGAGCGAACTGGGCTGCCAAATGGGTTTAGATTAGACAAATGCGCTGCTACAAAAGATCAGAAAGTGCTAGGCAGCGGCCACTGGAGCTGTTCGGCTGATGGTTTCTGCGGCTGATAAGCCGATTGAAGCTGTTTTGTGAGAGAAAAACATTGTTCCATGCCTGATAAGTTCAAGCGAACAGGACAGAACCAAAGTCGTCTGGGTCCACCAAAAAGTGGCAACCAATTTTGCAAAAAGGGTGAATTGCACAATAATGTCAATCCTAAAGAGTGGATAGAACTCAACTAGATCCTGGGGGCCTTGACAACAACGGTTTGGGGGCAAGCCGTATTTGGAGCGAACTGGGCTGCCAAATGGGTTTAGGTTAGACAAATGCGCTGCTACAAAAGATCAGAGAGTGCTAGTTAGAGGCCATTGGAGCTGTTCGGCTGATGGTTTCTGCGGCTGATAAGCCGGCTGAAGCTGATTTGTGATAGAAAAACACTATTCCATGCCTGATAAGTTCAAGTGAACAGGACAGAACCAAAGTCGTCTGGGTCCACCGGAAAGTGGCAACCAGTTTTGCAAAAAGGGTGAGTTGCGCAGTAATGTCAATCCTAAAGAGTGGATAGAACTCTACTAGATCCTGGTGGCCTTGACAACAGCGGTTTGGGGGCAAGCCGCATTTGGAGCAAACTGGGCTGCCAAATGGGTTTAGGTTAGACAAATGCGTTGCTATAAAAGATCAGAGAGTGCTAGGCAGAGGCCATTGGAACTGTTCGGCTGATGGTTTCTGCGGCTGATAAGCCGGCTGAAGCTGATTTGTGAGAGAAAAGCAATGTTCCATGCCTGATAAGTTCAAGCGAACAGGACAGAACCAAAGTCGTCTGGGTCCACCGGAAAGTGGCAACCAGTTTTGCAAAAAGGGTGAGTTGCACAGTAATGTCAATGCTAAAGAGTTGATAGAACTCAACTAGATCCTGGGGGCCTTGACAACAACTGTTTAGGGCAATCCACATTTGAAGTGAACTAGGCTGCCAAATGGGTTTATGTTAGACAAATGCGCTGCTATAAAAGATCAGAAAGTGCTAGGCAGAGGCCACTGGAGCTGTTCGACTGATGATTTCTGTGGCTGATAAGTCGACTGAAGCTAATTTATGAGAGAAAAACATTGTTCCATGCCTGATAAGTTCAAGCGAACATGACAGAACCAAAGTTGTCTGGGTCCACCGAAAAGTGGCAACAAGTTTTGCAAAAAGGGTGAGTTGCACAGTAATATCAATCCTAAAGAGTGGTAAGAACTCTACTAGATCCTGAGGCCTTGACAACAACGGTTTGGGGGCAAGCCACATTTGGAGCGAATTGGACTGCCAAATGGGTTTA